CGAGCGGCGGCGGCAGGCGGGCCGAGCAGCCGGGGCAGCCGGGCGCGTGGGCAGCCGCAGGCGCCGAGCCTCCGTCCCTCTCTTTACTGGGCCCAGGCCTTTGTCACCGCGCGCGTGCAGAGCGGAACCGCTCAAAGGAGCCGGACAGAGCGAAAGCCAGCCCCACAGGTTCACCCGCCGGGCCGAGGGCGCCAGAGCGGGGCCATGTCTTACCAGGGCAAGAAGAGCATTCCGCACATCACGGTAAGCTGGGCCCCCGCCTCTGCCTCGCCGTTCTTTGTGGGGTGGAGGTGGTCTCCGTCAGGGTCGGGATCCGCTGGGGGACCCTCAGGGGCGGCCCCCGGAGGCTTCCTGCGTCGCCGCGGGTAGGGCGGGGCCGGTCTCGGCTTTGCAGCCCCCTCCCCCAAGCATCTGGGGGACAATGGGGGGGAGGGGAGCCCCGCGTGGCGGGGCGGGGCTGGAGCCTCAGGCCCCTCTCTCCGCGGGCTTGCAGCCCCCTCCCCCCACGGGATGTGCCTGAGGATGGCATGGACTGGGAGGTTGCGGAGCCGAACAAAAGAGGGAGGGGCGCGGAGGTCCGAACACCCTCCATCCGGCCTTGGAGCTGAGCCTCCAGAGTGGAGCCTTTGCGCCGTCCAGCTCTTGCGCCTCGCAGCAGAGTTCCTTCCCCGCCAGAGGGAGGAAAAAAATCGACCACCGTTCCCCACTCCCCGCCCATAATGATGGAGTGGAAGTCTGGACCTAGAGACAGCGCCATGATAGAAGCGCCCCTCCCATTCGTCCCCGCAACTAAAAATAGCTTAATGGGCCGGCACTGGCGACCCCGGAAGGATTAACACTTGGGGTGCGGGAATGGGAGTGGGGACCGAGCTGTACTCTATGTCCCTGGGTGTGGCCGGAAACAAAGGAACCCTGGTCTTCACGCTTTGTCTCAGGGTGGGGAGCTGAGGGGACAGCCGATTCAGAAACCTCCACCCCATTCCTTGCCTGGCATGAGAATTGAACCAAGCCATTCCTGAGAGACGTGGACCACAGGTGCTGGTGAAGCCCGTGGGCCTTGGGTGGCTGGTGTCTGAGCAGCCAGGTGCTAGGAGGCAGGATTCTGAGCATAACTGAATCTTCTGGGGATTCCATGCCTGAGGTTTAAAGACAGGAAACCCAGCATCCTCATTTATCCAGAGTCCAGGCTTAGAGTTGGCCCCAGAGCATCTTGGAGAGAGTAGCTTTGGGCAGAGGGGAAGGAGCTGACATTCCCTACTCGTCTGCCCAGTGTATTGTGGACCTTGCCTTATTGAATCTTCTCAGTAAATCTTTTGAAGGAAGCATTGTCCACATGAAGCTCTCAGAGGCTGGAGCACTGGCTGGAGGTACAATTGAGAGGAAGGTTGGGAGGGAACTGGACCCATACCTCTCCAGAACAGCCCTGCATTCTGCCCTTCTGGGCTGAGTCTCCCCTTAGGAAGCCCCTCCTGTGTCCTGCTTCAGGTCTTGCCAGCCGACCTTTGCAGAGTTACCATCCAGCAGTGTGACCCCTGAGGGTGGGACCACCTCTTCCCCATCCCTAATCCTTGCCCTCTGAGACATGGAGATGTAAGTGACCAGTCACTTAACACTGTTGTCGGCTAAGAATCAATGGAAGGGATGTAGTTGTCCTAGGCTAGGCAGTGGGGGGAATGTACTGGATATTTATATGAGCATGTCCAGGCTTTGGGACTCTCCAGCCCTGCCCCGGGGGACCCGAGGCAGGAGATGGAGGTAGAGGTGATGCAGTGACTGATGAATTCTGGAGCCCCAGGCCCCTTTGTGTCTGTGGCCCCCCACAGGCCTGTGCCCTGTTCCAGACCCCAGTTTCTAAGAAGGAAGCTGAGCAAGATGGGCTTTGAGGCAGATGTATCAGAACAGTGCCTCCTGAATTGTCTAGTTCTGTCACCCTGCCTTCTGGCTGTGGCCCTCCAGAGTGGAGATGAACTGCCCAGGCTTTTGCACCGGATGGATCTGGGTTAGCCTCCGTGCTCTGATATCCAAAGTGGGCCTAGCACTGGCCATTTCATAGGACCCTTGAGCGTCCAAGAGGACCCTGGCAAAGCGCTTTGTGTTTGGTAGGCACAGAGCAAGGGCTTCAGAACTGCTGGCTGATCCTGCTGCTTTAGCCATTTGAGTGAAGCAAGTAGTCCACTCATGTATAAGAGAGAATCAAACGGAGTGACTCTGACAGCTTCAATAGCATGGGGAAGAGAGATGCTGAAAACTCCGCTCAGTTACTGGGAAAGTAGCCCTTGATGAGTCATTCATCTTTTGTTTGGTCCACATAGTTCACTCCAGCTAGAAAGATTTGTGGTTTAAAGGAGAAACCAGAGAGGATGACATTGGACGGAGCTCCTTTGTAGGACGCACAGCTTCCTGAGGATCCTTTGCTGATAATGTTCGTGTTGTGACAGGAACCAGAATGCCATTAAATGAATGGACGGGCATTGTGGCTTTACACATGCTATACCCTTAACATGTTCAATATTACCCAATTGGTAAGTGACTATAAGAACAATAAGTACCTGGTCTGTGCCGGGCACTGTGCAGGGTGCTAGGGAAAGTGGGTATGAGATGGGCATGCCCTTGCCTTCCCAGTGTTTAGCAAAGACTGACATTTCAGCCTGAAATTGCTGTGAAGTGTGGGGGTGTTGTAAGGGGTGGTATGGGAAGCCAGGGAGACCACAGCAGGAACACCCAGCCTCATCCTGGGATGCGGAGGGAGACAGACGGAAGGAAGGGGGTTCTGTGTGACGTGGGGGAAGGCCCCAAGGCAAAATAGTGTGATCCCTTGGAAAAACTGAAGGAAAGTCAGCGTGACAGAAGCCTGACCTCTGCATCCAAGTGCAGCTTCTCTGAGCAGTTCGAGCAAATCCTGGAGACAGTTAAGGTGTTTTGGCAGCCCTGGTGTGTGTGATCCGTGGAGGGACCCAGAAGGCTTAGAAAAGGATCAAGATTTAAAAAAAAAAAAAAAAGACCAGCTGCATCCCCAGGTCCCCACCTGCTTGATGTTTTCTCACTCTGTGCCCCCCTGAGCCTTAGTCTGCCCACCTGAACAAAGCGGATAAGGTCCCAGCTTTGGCAGTGAAATCAGAGATAGGAGAGGGTATGTGAGCAGAGGAGGAGGAGGGACATCCCAGACAGTGCACAGTGCGGACCGAGGCGGGAGCAGGGCTGAATCACGAAAATACTCTACTCATGTTGACCGCGGTGTCTTTTCCTCTTTCCTCCACCTTAGCCTTCTTCTGAGATACAAGAGTAGCCTGATTGAAAAGAGGGGAAAAGCTTGGCTTCAGCCCCCAAGGATTGTTTAAAATATTAATAAGGCTCTCTTTTCATGTGTGGCTTTTTAAAAAGATTAATGGGACAGCCAGAATTCATTTAGCTAAAGCTGTTTTTCGGTGCCTACTGTGGTGGTTAAGCAAGTAGAGCATCCTGGGCGTGGCTCTGAGCAAACAAAGGCACAGGGCTCGTGGCCCCTCGGAAGCTTTCGGTCCCCACAGAGCCACAGAAGAGGGTAGCAAGAGTGTCTACCATGACGGTTAAGAATTATTGTTTTTACAAATAAGACTTCGTGAGTACTGACCATTTGTGATTTTGCAGACTGTGATGGCAGTCAGGACCCCTGTGATCATTTACTGGGTTTTCAGAACAGTCCTGTGAGGAAGACAGCCTGTTATCCAAAGAGTAAACTGAGGATTAGAGACTTTAAAGCTTCATCAGTGGCCCGTGGAGGAATGAAGATATCCGATTCAGGCAGGGAGGGTAGATGGGCTAGTCTCCTCGCTAAGACAGTCACTGTCTGATTGAAATCTGTGTGTGCGCGCACGCGTGTATGTGTGTTAGATCAAACAGTGAAGATGAGCAGGGAAGAAAGGTATCAATAAGTAAAAATTACATCAGACTGAATTCGTTACTGTAATGGACAAATATGCAAAAAAACCTACTACTTCCTGAGGGTGACGCTCAGCCTATCTATAAATATTTAGTTTATCTTCCTGCCTTTTTATGCAAAGGATTTGAGATGCCTTCAGTGATTTGTCACACATCTCGTGAAATCAGATGGAAGTAGAATACCAAGAAAGAAGGTCGAGGAAGAGCAGAGACCAAACCTGCCAGCGATTCAGACCACTGGAGCCTGACTCAGCGTCTCATTCTGACTCAGAGCTTTTGTCATCCAGGGCAGAGAAAGAGACCCCACTGGTTTGGTCAAGACTATGATCAGGCAGGGAGAAGTGGGCCATAGTCTTAGGGGAAAATTTATTTTATTTTATTTTATTTTTCGTGTATATATTTTTCATTAAAGTACAGTCAGCTTACAATGTTTTGGGGAAAATTATTTTAAATTAAATTCTTTAAAAGTGTTTCAGAGGGCATAAAAGTGATGCTGAGTTAGGGTATCTTCCATAACATAATTATGGCAACTTAGCCCTAACTGCCTGTTTCTTGTAATAAACTTGGCCAAGACTGAATACATGGAAACACATGACATGACATATGTGAGTGTGCCGGGCACGTAGTCAGTGGCTAACAGGTGACAGTTCCCTTCCCTGAACTCAGGCTCTCTCTTTGAGGAAATGAAAATTCAGAATGACAGGTGATCAGTGAGTGTTAACTGCATATCTGTCTGTTCCTTGAACTGTGCAAGGTATGATGGGCAGTTAAAAATACATATTTTTATTTACGTGACCCTGACTTTGAGAAGCTTTCCATCTAAGTGAAAAATTGCACGTGCATGGAATGACTTCAGAAGGACTGGAGGGTAAACTGTGGACTAAATCACAGGTGTTAGAGGAATTCAGAGAAAGGAGAACTCATCATTGGCAGAAGCAATAGGAGGTGGCCTTTTGGGGCTTGAGGGATGGAGCGAGCTAGGTGTTGAGGGATTTGATTGGTAGAGACAAAGGAAGAGCAAGCAAAGCAGGGGAAACAGCATGGACAAGACCTGGGCTGGGAAATGAATATAGTCAGAAGAGAGTAAGGATTTTACATTGTTAATTCAAGGCGTGAGGAACTTGAAGTAAATTTGAATGGATAGGAGATCGAGGGGGTTCTACAAGGCTTTGGAAGTCAGACAAAATACATCCAAAGTGATGGAAATAGCACGTGGGGTTTAAATCTGGCTCAAATGTGAATGGGATATTTGACCTTGGACAAGTCAGTTCTTCTCTGAGCTTCAGATTCCTTTTCTTTACAAAGTTGAATTAGGTAATTCAGCT